ATAATAATAATAATAATAATAATAATAATAATAATAATAATAATAATTATAAGAAACTTAAAAAAAAAAAGTCCTTCTATTTGGGCCAGAGTAAGAGTAAAAATGAAGTCAGTACATGCTAATTTCTTGAAAAATGGTCATTAAAAATAACTAAAATGGTTCTCTAACATCTGTACATGAGAAGCACTGGTACGTATTTTCTGAGGCTAGGTACAGTTAAGGGATGTCTGTATTATAATGGTGACCTGTGGAGAAATGGCATATAAGCAATATATTAGTTTAATTATATTTTCATAAAATAAAACCTTACTTTTTATATGTGTGATTTGAATACATTTCTTAGTTTTAACATTATTTTAGAGAGTTATCTGTTGCTTATAAAAGCCACTTGAGAATTTTATGAGAAGTTTTATATTTGTCTGGCTTTATGTTCTGGAATCATTTCAGTTACACAGTTTTTCTCCCTCATGCAAGCACCTGCTAAGTCATGTGTGAAAAGTGCTGTGACAAGAAAGGAAATGTCTAAACTTATGTTCAATATTGTGAACTCAGAGTTTTAGTAAAGCATATATATTTTAAGTAAAGCATATTTATGTATACATAGTTTCAACATAGTTTTGTAATTTAAAAAAACAAAAACAAAAAAAACGGGGCATTTGTTTTTATCTTTTTATCCAGCATGTGAATATCCTTTTCATCTGTTTACACACATTTTATTACCTCCTCAACATTGCAGAGTTTTATAGAAAGTGTAGTTATTCTAACTTTTTTACCGTTTATTGTGATGGTTAAAGGGAGAGCATGGTGCTTCCATGGGTGCAGAGGAAGGATGTCCTTCCTTATCCACCTAACGGCCCGGAAGGACAGCGAAAAATGACTAACACTTGCGTGTTTTATTCACCTCCCAGTTCAATGTGAAAACATGCTAACACGTGAAGTTCGTGCCCCTTGAGGTCAGCCCTTTGGATCCAGCGAATTCAGTGATGGCTTTTGTCAGTGTGGCCTCTTTTGGCCTGCTCTGCTGCCGTTAGGCTGTTGAGAGGGAATTGTTTTCAGGCTCAGCTTCCCTGACTCCTGCCTGTTACCTCGAGCGCTCTCTTCAGAGATGCCTTGTCACTTGTCTTTGCAGTAGTTTCCCTTTTTCTGTTGAGTCGCAAGCCTTGTTACATTCCCTCTTTGTTTCCCATGAGCCTTATTTGTAAAAATCCTTCCAAAGCCGGGCATGGTGGCTCTGGCTGTCCTGGACTTACTTTGTAGACCAGGCTGGCCTCAAACTCACAGTAATTGCCCTCTGCCTCCCAGAGTGCTGGGATTACAGTGTGCACACCATACCCGGTTTGTATGACTTATTTTCAAATCTTAGATTATTTTATTTTAAAAATTTTGAATAAGCTTTATTGTTAAAAAAGACTAACAAGGAAATAAAAATACCACACGCCAAAATTAACCAGACTCAAAATCCAGAGAACTTAATGAATTTATGTATTGAAATGGAATCTATGAAGCTTCTCATTAGTTTTACACTTTCAGTATCATTCATTATTTGAAATCTTACCTCCTTGTGGGAGCGCCTCTCCTTGAATGAACAATGATGATAACATAGACCTTTCTGTCTGTTCAAACCAAAAGTCGACCTGCTCTACATGTATACTTCATTGTGGAGCTTAGACTATTGAATGGTCTTTGCCATCATTGTTAATTTAACGTGGGTCACTCTCATATCCTCACTGGGGTGATGGCTCAGTGGGTGAAGCTTTTGCTGTGTAAACCTCAAGACCAGTGTCTGCTCCACAGAGCACACAGAAAGCCTGGTGCTGTGGTGTTCCTCCATAGTCCCAGAGTGTCTGCAGTGTAGAGGGAAGAGAACCCATGGAGAGCTGATGTCCACAGCAAAGAGCGAAGAGGAAATCCTGCATCAGTCAGCCATGGCGGGAAGCACAGGCCTGACACTTGATGTGGCACCGTAGGCCTCCCGATCTTTACCGTCACTGTAGACTTACACACGCACACACATGAGGACAGACAAGCAGTCTCCCACACATCATGCATATGCACACAGATCTTTAACAACAACAACAAAAACGTATCTTGGCTTTTCAATTCCTTCCACAAGTATTAAATCTTAACTCTCCAGACTCTTTACTACCCTACTGTCTGTAACCCACAATCCCCAGTTTCCCATCACTCACTGTTTTGCTTCTTTGGTTTTATTTGTTTGCTTAAATGTAAGAATTTTAAATGCGTCCTGCAGTGAGTTTTGAAAATGTATATCAGGTTGCTGTGGCTTGTTTTCCTTAAATAGGCAGTAGTAATTGTGTTTCAGTTCACATTTGTAGCTCTGTGGATGATCTGCACACTAGGTGCCGCAGGGACTCTGCAGTTCCCTTTTCACTCAGTTACTCGGCACCTGAGAGCTGAGCACCTTCTGGGTTCCAGCTCTAACAGCAGGGCTCCTGTGGCCTCTCCTCATGGAGCTTGGAGCTGGCACTGTTGACGGGCTGTCAAGGTGGCATGTGTTTTGTATTTTGTTGCTTTATTTTCTATTCACACGTCTTTTGCCTACATGTATACCAGTGCACCACACACTATTCTGGTGCCTGCAAAGGCCATGACAGCTCCCTTCTGTTTGGTCAATTCTCATATCCTGGTGCAAGCTCCTCCCTGAGTGTATAATGAAGGCTGCTCATCTCTGTTTCTTTGAAGGGATTGTTATGAGGATTTGTTAAAACAACACATGAAGGCTCTTAACCTGAAAACACTGACAGTGTGTTAGTTTTTAATGCTAAAGCATTTAAGAGATGTCTTAAATCAAGCTTTGTTAATGAAGAAGTTTGCAGAAGGTCAGATTTCTCAGGGATAAACTGCAAGTCATTAATAGCTTAGGAAGTGGCTTAATGTGCAGTTTCCCTTGGGTTCGGGGCTTACCCTGAATCCATCCCAGTGATACTTCTGATCTTTGAGAAGGATTAGAGTGTAGCAGTTTCTCCTGCTTTCAGTCAGTGACATTTTGACTGTAGGTTGTGCTGCTAATCATAGAGGAAGTATTTGTAATCAGTCCACTTTGTGTTCTATTTAAGGCAGCATTTCTTGATAACTGTCTGAAAAGAAACAGGAATATCTGAAAACAACGCAAGTGTCCTGTAATTTATTTTTAGATAACTAGCATTGCTGACCAAGAACTGTGGCCACCCTGTCTCACTGCAGTGTCAGGCATTCTGTGTCTCTTTGTGTCTGCCTCTTTATGTCTCCTTCACTTCAGGTTAACCTAAGTAAAATAAAGAGAAAGTTGTAAAGAAATTGTTTCTGAAATTACTCAAATCAAGTGTGATTCAGCTGATTTTACCTCTGCTTTCCCGTTGCAGGTTTCTCAACAGTGATGTCACAAGACTGACCACGCTGACACAGTAAGACCAAAGTCACAGTTCAGTTTCTAAGGATGGATTGCTTTCTCTGAGAATAAGAATGAATTAAGGGATATCTATCAATAACTCTCTTACAGTTTTCTCCCACCAGCCAGTTGAATGTGTATATTGTCAGTGACTCAAATTTCATATTTCTAGTTATTTAAATAACTTGTAAAATGCGTTAAAGGAATTTAAAATAATTTATGATGAAAATTTAATCCATAACTAAAATTATTACATGCACATTTCACCGTGGCATGTTTTAAGTGTCTTCACAAGTAACAAAAGAGTGAGCTTTGGGTAAATTATTTGTTTCTTGGACTGACTTTGAGCACTCTTTGTTAACTGAGCGTACAGGCAGTAGGCAACAGGAACATTGAAGTTCAGTAAAAGGCAGAGCCACGTGGAGCCGAGCTTTGTAATTATGTCCAGGATTCCTGTTGGAAATAATTTGAAGTTTGCTGTTTTGTACTGACTAGAGAATGTTTATTCTATATCTAACGGCTCCCTGGTCATTTTGTTTCACCGATGATCATGGAAGCATTTTTACTTTCTCTTAAAATAGTTCCTTTCCTCTCTTTCCTGCTCTTCCCTTCCCTCTTCTGTTTCTCTCTCCTTTCCTGTTTTGTTTTTCTTCTCATTCTTTGTTGTGGTAGGGATGGAGGCCTGGCCTCACATATGCTAGGCAAGTGCTGTGTCACCGAGTTATAAAGATTTGTTGTGTTGGTTTTAATAATCAGAATTTTGTTGACCTAACAATATTTTGCAATAACATACTAAAGCATTCTGTGGTAGCCTTGTGTGTGGCATGTCCTGCTTTAAATCAAGTTAAAATTTTTTGTTCTGAAGCCAAGAATCTCAGGAAGCGGTGATGTTCAGTGGTGTCAGACACTAAATAAAGACAGGAAGTGTCCCTTTGAGATGAAGTGGCAATGGGTAGGGACTCAACTTTGTGATTGTGGCAGGGCTGTTTGCCAAGAGAGACAGTGGATGCAGCAGGGACTCATGGGAGTGCTAGTGAAGGCTAGCCCCCAGCCTGGGTAGAGGTTAGGTACTGATTTGTTGATTTGTTCCAAGACAGTGGGGAGCCAAGGACCCAGTCAGAGACCCGCAATCTGGTTACCATGCGATGACATAGCTCTTTCAAAGTTAAAGTTATAGGCAACATTTGTGTGTGTGTGTGTGTGTGTGTGTGTGTCCAGACAGGGTTTCCTGTGTAGCCTTGGCTGTCCTGGACTCTCTTTGTAGACCAGGCTGTCCTCGAACTCAGAGATCAGATTGCCTGTGCCTCCCCGAGTGCTAGGATCACAGGTGTGCCACTGTGCACACACTTGTCTTTTTTGAGACAGGGTTTCTCTGGGTAATAATAGCCCTGGCTGTCCTGGACTCCCAGGTGCATGCCTTTAAGCCCAGCATTTAGGACTCAAATCTACCTGCCTCTGCCTTCCCAGTGCTGGGATTCAAGGCGTGCTTCACCACACCTGGCCTGAGGCAACATTTCTGTGCTCTTTAATATGCAAATTTATTTTTCTTTAAAACATTTCAGCAATTTTTAGAAAAGAGGAAAATTTTATTTACCATTCTTTCCCTCTATACTGCAATCTACAGAGATTACAAAACTGTCTCACTAGTTTTGTTGTTGTTATTTGGTGTTGTTTTGAGGGGAGCAATGTCAGTCAATTCCATCAAAATTTGTACATGATCCTCAGTTTTGTCTAGTTAAAGTATTTCCCTAGTAAAAGACATTTGGTGACTTCCTGCTTCTTATTGGTTCCCATCTATACTTTGTCCTCTAATTGGCTACTGTAAACAAGAATATGCTTATTCTCTTTACTTATATTTATACTGTAACTAAGAATCTGTCTTATGCCATTCTGATAGTGATATCATTGTTTTTACAGAGTATTATTCTAGCTTTTCAAGCTTTAAAAATTGTTCTGATGAAAGGAGATCTTCCTTCTAATGCTCTATTTGGTCATCTCTTGGAGGTCTTCCCCAATCATCCTAACTGAAAGTGATTCTCTCTCCTTAATAGTTTGGTAATAATTTTTATTAGTTCTATTTTACTGATCATTGACTCTTATTTTTGAATCGATTTTGAAAACACAAACCTTTCTAATGTACTCAGCAAGTGTTGGTATTCTCTCTGATTCTTTAATTTCTGGCAGAGAGGCATTGAGTTAGAGCTACTGACGCAGTGCCCTTTCTGTGGGGGAAAGCAATCATACTTGACTGGATTGCTAACCTCTTAAAAGGCCAGAATGACTTTTAGGACAGTTCTGACGGGCACTGTAATATGCTTCCAGTTGAGGGGTGACAGTATGCACAGTAGTTAGGAGCATGGACTTGGGTCAGAAATGGTTACATTTTCCCTCTGGTTTACGTAATAGTGGCAGTCTGTGCTGAGTACTTAAAGATTCAGGTTTCTTTCCCTAGAAGTACTACATAGGTCTCAGGAGTGTTGTGAACAGTTTAGAAGAAATAACTTTCACGAAGCACTCAGCACAGAGGACAGCACGTACTAACTTCTTTTGACTCTCATATACATTGTCTATAGTTACTTGCCTAAGACATCTGTTACCTAGTTCTGTCTTGTTTTGACATAATTAGTATTACTGTTTTATGATTATCCCATAACTTGATTAGAAGTCTCTATAGCATATATACAAAGCATAATAGAATAATTCTATTAAGAAAACAAACAGTGTGGGGGTCGGGTTGCATACCGCAGCGGTCATATGAAGGCCAGAGGACAACATGTGGAAGTCAGTTCTTTCTGTCCTTCTCCGCGTGAGCCCCAGGGACTGAACTCAGGTCATACTTGGTGGTAACACCTTTACCTCTCAAGCCAGCTTACTAGTTCAGAATTATTCTGTTTCTTCTTACATCCCAAGTCGTCTTCTCTAAAGAGAATATCTTTTTATGTATATCCAGTTTTGTGTGCACTGAATTTTTATTACAGTGGCTTGTTGTAGTGTTACTTGTGTTTTTAAATAATATTATTATTTCATAATTTGCTATATACCTACTAATTTATTATAAACAACTTTAAATGTACAAAGTAGTGGGGCTGGTGAGAGGTCTCAGGGGGTAGGAGCAGTGGCCGCTCTTGCAGAGGCCCAGGTCCAGCTCTCAGCACCCGCATGGCAGCTCACATGCCTGCAACTCCACTGCCAGGGAGTTCGATGCTCTCACAGACGCACATGCAGTCAAAACACAGATGTCCGTAAAATTAAAAACAAATAAATTATTTTCTGGGCGCATGCCTTTAAGCCCAGCACTTGGGAGGCAGAGGTAGATGGGTCTCTGAGTTTAAGGACAGTGTTGTCCATGGAGCAAATTCCAGGACAGCTGAGGGTACACTGAGAAACCCCTTTTCAGAAAACCAAAACATGAATAAACAAAAACCCTCAAAGGCTAAAGTAGTCTTTACTCTTCCATTAAAAATTCCCATCTTTCTTCTTAGTCATTTTCTTTTGAATATTACTTCAGTTTTTTAGATCTACACTAATAGAAATAGTTAATTTCATAATTGATACTTAGAATAATACAATCTTACAGTGTCCCCATGACTAGACACATCAGTCTAGTGTTAGGTCTCTCTCCCCAGATAAGACATGATCAGATAAGGCAGTAACTGATAAACTTTCTCTGATACTTTCACCCTTCTAGGTTGTGTCCCTGGCATGTAGCTGTCTGGAATAAAAAGATCTCAGTCTCCCTTGCAGTTAATGTCATGGGTGTGCAGCAACAGTGTGTCTAGATTGTGCGTCCTGCTTGTGTTACTGTTGTTTGAGGCAGGGGGACTCTGTGTGTAGCTTTATTTAGCTAGCCTGGACCTCACTGTGCAAGGCCTGGCCTCAGATTTATAGCTGTCCCCTGATTGTCTCCTGGGAGCTGGGATTGTAGACACTATCTGTCCAACTGCGTAGAACCCATTCTTCCAGGAAGAAGTGGGCACAGTGTCTTCCTCCTCCTTGTTGAAATGTAGCTGTGGTAATTGGACCATGGCTAGAGACCATGTACCGAGAAGGGGAAGCCAACGGTAGAAACTTCACAATGCCACCTGGCTTGCCCTGGCGTCTTACATCTACACTTCCTTTTGTCAGAGTTAAGTTTCCGTGTTGTGTTAATTACTGGCTTTCTGTTACCATGGCTTAAACTTGCCTTGAGAACACTAATGTAGATTTAGTTTTTAGAAAGAAAACTTATACCATTGGGAAAACGTTGTAGGATTGATCTGTTTGCTTTTCACTTTTCACGTATTTGAACTCTGCTGTTATTTTTGGTGGTTTGGGTTTGAGGAGATTAGAGAAACTATAATGAGGCACTGTCGGTGAGTCAAGCCGTTCATTCCTAGAAGTTTAGTCCTGTAACCTCACCTATGCAGGAGCCTGAGGTTAGGAAGGCTCAAGTTCAAGGCTTGCAGTAGCTACAGAGTACATTCAAGGCCAACCTGGGCATTTTGTCATCTCTCTCTCTCTCACACAAAAAGACTATGCATGTAGCCCAGGGTTAGAGTACTTAGTAAGTGTGTGTGAAGTCCTTGGTTCCATGTGCAGTAAGAGAAGCTGAGATTTAAAGGTGCAGGAATTTTATTCCAGTATTGTCGAAATGTAAAGTTTGTGTTAGTGAGTGAGATTAAAATGTCAGATCTTTTATGAAGGAGATAGGTATCTATTGATAAGTTCTGTTAATATTGATGATTTTAGGATTTATTATTTTTTGTTAAATATTTTAATATTTTTGTTAAATATTTTGATACATGTATCAAGGCTCATTCAGTTTGGACCTTTAGCACTTTAACAATTTAGAAACATAGAATTACATTTTATAAATGGATATGCTAAGATTCCCAATGGATTCGGGTGGTTAAAATGATTCTTGTTAAACCATTATCTATAGTCAACTATAACAGGTCTGTTATCTGATCACTATTTTTCCTTGCTAACACAAAAAATAGAGTAAGTAGAGTTTAGTAAGTCTACATAGGAATGCCC